AAACTCCTTCTGATATAAAATGGATTTTTTGAAAATACTGATTATACATTACACAAGTTACTTAAGACTTTCCACTTTTCCAACAACAATAAGAATACAATGAGTTAGTCATTAATCTCGCTCATTCTAATTTTTCTGATTGTATTTGTAATATATTTTGATCTTATTTATTCAACATAATACAATATGGCAAGTCGTACACTATTGTTCACTATTCCTTCCATTGTTTTATCCAACTGGAACTAATTAATTTATTTCACTTAACAGAAGTTCACTAAACCATGCCGATTATTATATCATTGTGATGTATCTTGGGCAAAACACCCTACAATCTGTCAATATTAATTATCATTGACTTATTGATACAAACAATTAATTATCTAAGTGAATTAGTTTTTTTAACAAAGCAAAAGTTAATATTGACTGATGAATAAAAAACCGAAGGTTAGAAGATGCACTGACTTATGATTTCAAACTTATGGATTCTTCAAGGCAAAAATCTATCAAGATCAGCTAGATCTGTAAAGGATATTTTGTTCAATAGTTAGTAATCTTCACAGATCGATCTTAGTTGAAATATCACTAAGAAAACAAAGAGGATTCAACAAAATTTTGTACTAATACAGAACTTCTCAATAATACACACACGATCCCACTAGGGATTGAACCCAAGATATTTACCACTCACATTCAGAGCATCACTATTTAAACATTATTTATGATCTTCGATATTACACACAACTTCTATAAAGTCAGTTTGTAATATGATCTTGAGTGAGCACTTCTGAGGAGTTCTGTCATTAGAATGCAACACCTGTTCAGTACGTTCTGGTTTTAAGTCGTACTTCAAATGAGGTCAGTTGATGACGAAGGTGTTTGTTTCTCAGAAATAATATAACAATTAATTCAGGTACTCAATAGTAATATACAAATGAAAAGCAGAAGCGAATTACAAGTCGAAGTGATGGAAAAAATTGTATTTCAGTGTGGTGACAAGAGTTTCTGTTGGAGAAAATATTAGTCATACTTGATGTTAAGAATTTCTAATAAATAAAAGTTTAATTGGAAGAAAAGAAGTATAACAGATACCCATAGAGAAAGTAAATCAAAGTCTTAATTATGTAGTCTATGAATAAATAGTATATGGATATTGAGATGGTGGAGAAGATTTGTTACTCAGATAGATGATTTTGGTAAAGTTTTGTTCTCTGAGCTGGATGGCTTGGTCGTGGAGCATTCATCGTTCTTATAAACGACATAAAGTTTGTGCTGATAATTTCGTTCAAAAGAACGATGAAAGCTCCATGACCAAACCATCCAGCTCAGAGAACAAAACTCCATCAAAGTATATGGATATACTCATCAAACATCTTGTTTTTACTTTTCATTACATATCATCAATCCTTGTGTATCATTATTGACTTAAATCGCGTTGGTAAATAACAGAATTAAATAAATTAAATATGAGACTGTATTTTCCAATACATATATTTCGTACAATCGTTGATAAGATAAGATAACCAGAGAGATGTATCAAAGGAAGCGAAGTGACGAGTGTGGAGAAAGTATATGAGTCCATTCCATTTAACCAAGCGTTAATCAATAATTATAGTCGCACAAAATCAAGCTGTACACATGTAATATTGGGATTCTATGGGCATACACGTATGAGCTCATATAAAAGTGGTCAAAATTGATAAGCGAATAATTAACCAGGTCAAAACGTGACTCAAGTAGAATGAATAATTTGAGTTGTTCGAAAGCTAGAATAAGGTATATGGGCTTAACATAATAACTGACACTACAAATTCTATTGAAACCCTACTAAATGATTTTATTCAATGTTCATTCTGTTGAGGAGCGAAACTTTTGAACAAAATTCACAACACAATGCCTGATGTAGCAGTAGTTTGGTCCATATGTTCATGATTCATAGTAAATATTACAGAAAAATTATATAAGTCCAATAAGAAAGTTACTTTTAAGAAGTTCATTTTGTCAAATTTAGAAGGCAGTTAAAAAGTTCGACATTACTTATGTGCATAACAATATTAACTAGAGCTTTATAAGAATTCGTTAACAGATGGTATGCATATGAAATGGTTCAAATTAAACGTGTAAACCACTAGATCTCCGTTCAGTATTCCAAAGGTATAACATTTCGTCACATTTCGAGTGTAATTTGAAAAAATTAGTTAAAATAGTAAAGTAAAAAAGTGTAAAGCAATGATTGAACTCTGGGTTTGACTAAAAATTCAAAAACACGGCTAATTTTGAGCTGTGCCACCAAAATCCCCCAACCATATACTATAAAAATTCTGCGATTACAAACTAGAAAGTGTACACATACCTACAGAAACAGTCTTTATGTGGTAAACTTGAATGGCTTAGAAATATGTAGTTTAAATTAACACCTTTCTGATATTTCAGAGCCATATAATCTGCAAGCTACCATCATAAATAGATAAAATCTACTGATAACTGTCATTCAAGGTGACTGCCATTTATTCTGTTATGAACACCTGATTGTCGATCGTAAGTTATCACGAGACGCTGTAAATTCAACACACCATCGGCCATGCACATTAATGCGCTACGCTATGGCAACGGTTGAATTTGCATGTCTAACTTTTGGAACAGACACGTTTCAATAATTTATTTGATAAACAATTTTAAATTATGTCTGTTGGTCGGAGGAGGTCGATAAGAAACTCCGGTTCTAGGCTTCGTACTAGTCGTCACTCATCATCAAGACATACTTACAATTATGAAGAAAATGATGTCCTCTACGGGATACGGGACCTCATCATCCAGCTCCACAGTCTGAGATGGTCATACTGAAGTAATTATCCCATTACAGACCATTTATAGGACTGAGATATTTACAATTAATTTATTTTTTATTAGTGACTGATCTCATATTCATCTTGGACTTTAGTATTGATTGAATTCTACATGACTACACCTCATCTAAACTATTGTATTGATCTTGCTTAGTTTGTAATAGTCAGTTTGATAAATCTTGTCGATTGAACGCTAAGCTATCCCGATGACCCGCACGCTAGAACTACACAGCGACCTGAACACCAGAGAGAAGACGCAAAGTATGAGAGAAATTCTTTACTCAAAGGTTCATTTTATTACAGAAAATATAGGATTTTTATAATATGTTTAAACATCCTTGGGTTGCTAGAAGATTCTCGAACGCTACTAAACATAGTAGCGGTGTAGCAACCAACCAATCAGAACCACTACATGTGACGTTCCGCCACTTTGACATTTCTGGCTAAAACCTCAGATAAACGCTGATTGGAGGAAATGCTTCTTAGTGTTTCCTGACCCTTGGCTTGACCTTTGCTTGACCATTTGCGAGAAATTTACTGGGTCATCCCAACACAGTTATAGACTTGTAGATATCCACGACTGAGTAGTTTTAGACTATAACAAAATAAATGTTTTACTTCATCTTATATTCAATGGTTCTCTACTTAATATACAGACTTGGTAAAAAGTACTATTACATCATTATAGCTTTTTAACTATCAAAACATGTTATCTTGTATGTTAATCAAATGAGTAATATATGATTTTTGTATATTTGAAAAATACATCAATTTGACATAAGAAAATTTAATTTATTTTGATAGATGAAAAATCCAAATGAAAAACAAACAAACAAACACTTCCCTCTTGTAACCAAGATGGATGTTTATGTGTATATATCTAATCCATGTATAAATGGATATTGATTCTATTTCATTGTACTACGTATTTTGTTGATCACATGATTTTGAGCAATCCAAATGTAAAAATTAGCTTAATCAGTTTTACAAATAAACCCAAAAAATAGACGTTTCAGTTTTAATTAAGATATTGAGTATTGAACAGTGAATTTGTAATTTAAATTCTGTTAACAACAACAGAAAAAAAATTATATTCAATTAATGGAATTGAATAATTTGTATGACGTACTGATGAAAAAAAAGACAAAGAAACAGTAGACAATCCTTTTATTCTAGTTTGAAGATGTTCATACAGTTGGCAATCATGACATCAAAAAGAATGAAATCAAAGTTATTCTTATCTTAAATTGATTATCATAAGATTAACCCATTGCAATGAGATACAGTAATTTACTCTTCTAATTTTAGATAATTCTTATACAGTTTGTTAATATAAAAGCACTAGTGATGATTTGATAACAGTTGTAAAAGTAGTGATCAATCATTCAGTTAACCTTGATGACACAAATCGAACGATAAATATTGACCAGTTTAGGGTGCGTAATGTAGATTATTAAGACTGTTGTTTTTTCATAGGATTAATCTTTAACTGACTTCAAATCAGAAGTTTCTTCATCAACGTAGCTTGCTGCATTGAACCATACATCTCTTCATTTCGCTTTGTTTAGTTTTTGTGGATCGACGATTATATGAAATATGCGTATTTGAAATTCACTCTCGTATTTGGCTCGTTTAATTCCGTTAATCACTAACACGGATTAGGTCGATGATTATATACGAGAATAGTCAGGATGTATATTTCAACAACAATAATTCAATAACGATCATTTGTCCGGTCTAACTGGAGTTAGATCCCGCGTCACTAAAGATCGATTGGAAAAAGTTCATCATTTACACGGAACGGGTTGAAGTAATTTGGATACCACAAAATGGCTCAACATCTTGTTGAAAATCGAACTAATGGTTCAATCAGAATGATGAGGGAAATGAGACTGAGCATTGTAGATGATGTTCATCTAGTGTGGTTTTGATCAATAATATGTAAAGTCAATCTCATTGGATACGATGTATAGCTGTGTGTTAGTTCTCTCAACGAGGTAGAAAGTAATTGTGGACTAATAAATTAATCAAACAACTAGAATGAAACAGGTCGACAGTGTTGATGATTTTCAATGTTTCTCAAATTTCTGTTCATTTGTTTCCTTTGTTTCTATCGTTGGTGTAAACAATGTTTGTGTTGTTTTGTTTTTTGGATAGAATACGAGCATTCTGATTTGGATGATTATCTGAATTCGAAATGCGTTTAAACAGTGAAGTAGGGGTTTCCGTAATATGAAGCCAGTCGTATTGTATGAAAATAACTTTGGGACTTGAATTAAATGCTTACAAATTATCTTGATCGCTGTTTATGATATGTTTTCGAATACATCTCAATGTAATTCAGCGTTTATGTTAGCAAATTATTACATTTTCTGTTATCCTTTTCATTGTATTACTTCTTTAGTATGATATAAATAAGGACGCAACCTGTGGAATTACTATTGAATATTCTATTTATTGATGTGTCAATGTATTTTTAAGAGACAAACGAATCAGAATTGAGAAAGCGAGATGTAAGCTATTGTGTGTAGTTCAATATTCTTGTAATCGTTGAATTCATGAGTAAATTGAAACTAGACCACCATGGGAAACCGAGAAGCACCGGACGGCGGTTTTTTCCTAGTATTGGACTCTTCACTAATGTGCATCCGCGATCCCGTGTCGCGAGATACGAACCCAGGACCTATCAGTTTCTCGTGCGAGCGCTTAACCACTAGAACAATGAACCAGCATCCAATGGTATCAATATCTAACTTCAACCAATCCGATCCGATTACTTTTTATGCTGTTCAAAATGTTAAGAACGCTAAAGGAACTTTACTCATTGTTATCATAAAATTAAATTGTAGTGTTAAGTTTATCTAATGCTCGTAGTGTGTTTATTGATTGCTGATAACAGATAAATTAACAATTTCCTTAAACCCTACCTCAATACTTGCAATACTATGAAGAATATAACCTAGTGGCACTTCAGTTCATGAAATAGCTTATTAAATAATGTCTCTTGAATTTTCGTATGAAATCTATCCATACGATGACTATACCTTTACAAATTTTATATTATAACATTTTGTGATGAAAACCTTTTACCCTAAATTCTTAATTCAAAATTTGTCTCTACTCAGAACAATCTGGAAACTTTTAAGAAAATTTCTTTAGTCCTTGTAGGTTTTCAATAAGAATGGTTAATTTACTTCTATAATAACGAATATGTAGGTCGTTATTTATTTAATTTTCAAATGACGTAACCTGTAATAGACTTTAATGAATTCATCAAATATGGAATATTTGCTTACATTTTGTAACGTGATTGATTTCTCTTTCATCAACTATTCATCAACTTATTCTTGATTCTATGAGGACTGGGTGATAATCGAATATGGTTATTATAATGTCATCTTCATATTATACAATTCCTTAGAAATAACTTCAATTTAAGCTTTTCCCAAATGAAAGCACATTTTTTTGGAGTACTAACGAATGAAAACTTTAAAAAAAATTCTTACATAGTTTCATCAACCAATTATCAAAATGTTGTGGTTTAGCATATTTGAAACAAACGATGATGATGATGATGATGATGATGATGATGATGATGATGATGATGATGATGATGATGATGATGATGATGATGATGATGATGATGATGATGATGATGATGATGATGATGATGATGATGATGATGATGATGATGATGATGATGATGATGATGATGATGATGATGATGATGATGATGATGATGATGATGATGATGATGATGATGATGATGATGATGATGATGATGATGATGATGATGATGATGATGATGATGATGATGATGATGATGATGATGATGATGATGATGATGATGATGATGATGATGATGATGATGATGATGATGATGATGATGATGATGATGATGATGATGATGATGATGATGATGATGATGATGATGATGATGATGATGATGATGATGATGATGATGATGATGATGATGATGATGATGATGATGATGATGATGATGATGATGATGATGATGATGATGATGATGATGATGATGATGATGATGATGATGATGATGATGATGATGATGATGATGATGATGATGATGATGATGATGATGATGATGATGATGATGATGATGATGATGATGATGATGATGATGATGATGATGATGATGATGATGATGATGATGATGATGATGATGATGATGATGATGATGATGATGATGATGATGATGATGATGATGATGATGATGATGATGATGATGATGATGATGATGATGATGATGATGATGATGATGATGATGATGATGATGATGATGATGATGATGATGATGATGATGATGATGATGATGATGATGATGATGATGATGATGATGATGATGATGATGATGATGATGATGATGATGATGATGATGATGATGATGATGATGATGATGATGATGATGATGATGATGATGATGATGATGATGATGATGATGATGATGATGATGATGATGATGATGATGATGATGATGATGATGATGATGATGATGATGATGATGATGATGATGATGATGATGATGATGATGATGATGATGATGATGATGATGATGATGATGATGATGATGATGATGATGATGATGATGATGATCAGATGATATTAGCTTGAGGTCTTGTCATTATTCATTTTCTGTAATGAAATCTTTGTTTATCATGCACATCCATTCTTTATTCAACTACCTAAAACCATGACATTGTGTAGAAAGATTGTTGAAGTAGTATAAGTCTTAAATGTATCATAATTCTTTTCTCAATAGCATATTACGTTTTAGTTAGAAGATGCAACTCTTAGATTTAATCATGTCAAAATACTAATACAATACGATCATAACTGAAATTGAATTGTAAACCGATCAAATTCTGGTTGAATGATTTAAATAAAACTTAAAGATTCTCATTCAAAATTATTAACATATTGCAAATGAAAGGAAAGCTAATTTGTCCTGCCTATCCATCCATGGTATGATTTATATCTTCTTTATCACTTTCTTAATTATTCAATAATGCCTTATAGTTTTCATCTTCAAATATCATGAAACTGTTGATTATTTGTGATTATCATAAGTTGTAAAATATATTACTATTAACTTCACTAGAATTAGATTGAATAAATTAACAGAATTATCTTTAAAAGTAAATAAAAATGTTAATTACTGTTTGTTTAACCATTTAAAATTGCAATATCTACCAACAATAAAAAAATGATTATGTAATGTTACATCTGTAATAAATGAACAGTCAAGTAGGGGACATCCAGTTTCGTGGATTGGTTAAAGGTAGACATTAGAACCATCGAATGTCGACCAGTTCAGTGGTCTAGAAGTTAAGCATTTGCGCGCGAAATCAATAGGTCCTGGATTTGAGTCATACGGGGCAGGATTGTAGATGCGCACTGCTGAAGAGTCCCGTACTAAAACGAAACAAACGTCCGGTGCTTCTAAGTTTTGCATGATGGTTTAGCTTCAATTGATGCATGAACTCAACTATTTAAATTATTATCATATCCACAAAACCCCTTTTTGATGACAGTCAATTCATTGTTTAATAAACAATTATATAATATATTGGTAAAATAAGAGACTCAGACATTAAATACCTAATTTGTATATTTTCCGTCAATTATCCATCATATTCTGTACGATTCTTCAATTTTACTTTTTTCTTTAAAAAAAATTCAAATTGATCATTTTAATTTTCTGTTATTCGATTTCTTATTTCCGATTAGTGTTATATACTACTCATATCTTTCAATAAAAGTAGTATATTTTAAGTTCTGTGGAAACAATAATGATAAAAAGAGTAATAAAAATAATGTGCAAACAATTTGAAACCTCATCACTCTGGATAATAGGCTAATATTACCAGAGGAGAAGAACGATTAACTTCCCTTACCAGATATACTTCTAAGTAGAAGAGAAGATGGCTCAATCAAACGATTCAGTTGTACAAAACAAACATAGACAGGTCAATGGGTTGGAGAATGCTGGTCGACAGCCTATGCTTCATTAGCAGTAACAGGCGTAAGTAAGTAAGTAAAACCTTGTATTTCACATACAGCTGCACAACAGGAGATCAAGTCCATTCACCTCTCTCACATATTAACCTCAAGTTAATTTTCTCACATTTTGAATATTACAGCCCCCAATGGTTGCAATGAATTAGTCGCATTTTATTATATGTGTAATGAACAAATACTTAGAGTAAACTAATTTTTTCTATTTAGCAAAATCACACATTTCAATTATAAAATGTGAAACTAATACATTGAATTCATTATTTGTGTATCTTCCTTGAATAGTCTCTTACAAGCTTCATCTTTCTTTCATTTCTGTTGCAACTTAAACTGGTGTGCTTTTCTTTATCTTCTCCTTATGTTCCTTTACTGTCAGCAATAATCATACTTCCCAATCTGGATATATATTACTTATATCTGTCCGAATAAGTAGTACACCATACATGTGCATTCCGACACTATCCTCTCCATATTTCAAACAAGCCACAAGATTCTGAGTAACATTGAATAATGTCTAGCAGTGAATGCGAGGATGTGAGTTTAATCCTATTTGTGACCCACCAGTTGTATGTGCCTGGATCCCAATGTTTGTGTTCATAATTGGACTTGGATTCAGTATCTTCAACTTAGAATACCTAGTATATTATCCCCTGAAATAATGAACGTTTCCAACTAGCTGATGAATCCAAATGGAGTGAAATGTGCATCTTGCATTCCACAGATTGTTACCATTCAACTGTAATTCTCATTTTCAAGGGTTAACTTTATATTTTTAAATAAATTAAGCGTAAGTAGATTGTTAATGATAAAATACTAATTGTAAGCAAAGGTAGGTGGATTCAATGAAACAGTACGAGGTGAACTAAAATATTAACTTATTTGTTATAAAACAAAGAATGGAAAAGCTATATTGCTGACTTTTCTTGTCACGAATCTGTACTACTGAGAATCTATAGAGCAGGACGAACCACGTCTAGGTATCGTTCAATTTCAGTAATTTTCCATCTGTAATAATTCCATGATGTAAGTGAATTTCATCACAATTACCCTGGCCAACTTCGGAGCATGCTAGTTAATAATCATTTTTATAATATGGCGACGTAATTTGATTATTCTTCATTTTTACATTTTAAACTTATCCACACATATTATTATTATACTTGCTAAACGTTTTGAGAAATGTATTCAGCATCCACCCCTATCTACTATATCTAACCTGATTCATATTTTTCTACATATTACGTAATTTCTGATTCTCTCTCTCTCACCCCATGTTGACCATATTTATTCTGATCATTCATCGTACAATTTCATTTCACTTATAAACTGATTGAAGTTAACACTTTATATTAGTCAGCCCCAACATTAACGATTTGAAGTTAGACATTAACACAGTTGAATGCCAGCTTAGTGGTCTGGTGGTTGAGCGCTCGCGCGCGAGGCTGTTAGGTCCTGGTTTCGAGTCCCGCGAGCCGGTCGTGGGTGCGTACTGATGAGGTATCGCACAATAGAACGAGACAGCCGTCCAGTGCTTCTAGGCTTTCTAATGTGGTCTAGCTTCAATTGACTCATGAACTCAAATATTGAAATTAACTATTTGGTTTGATTTCATATTTTGATAGTACAATTAGAAGACGAAGATTATCAGAATTATGTGATGATATATCATAGCCCAATACATTTACAACAATCTGATCACACACAGTATACTGAATAAGAACATTTATATATAAAACAATGAAAGATCAACTAGACTAGAAATGGAGGATAAGAGGAAACAATGATAATAATAATAGGAGTAATAATAATAATGTGCAAACAATTTGAAACCTCATCACTCTGGATAATAAGCTAATATTACCAGGGTAGGTTTAAGGTGAAACTAAACTGTTTTTGAATAAACAGAGGGGGTATAAATTTTCGTATGGATAAGGCTTCAATAAACCTTGGTATACACCCTTTTACACTTTTGTACAGCACCACAAAAGCCGAGCTAAGATCAATCTTATGACCTGTTTCAATTATGTGTTTGGCAATAGAGGATGATGGATGTTTATCCTCTACTCTTATCAGGTCATTTGATTCTATTTGTTTCTGCAGCCATTTAGGTAAATGTTCACACACCCTAATTTTGAGATCACGATTACTCCTCCCTTCGTATGTGTGACCACACACATTTAAATTGGTAAACACAGTAGAATGTAACGCAATCGTTTTCTTGTCTTTTAGGTTTTCGATGAAGCATGAATCTTGTTGTTTCCTTGATAATGATCTTCACCGCGCAATATGTCTTGTTAATGACTGATCTAAGCCTTTGTTTCTATAAAAGGCTATTTGAATCACCTCTAAATGGTAAGCTGATATAGACAGGCGTTTTCTCTGACAAAGTTATAGTAAGTGTCACTGTACCATGAACTTTCCATATATATTTCAGAGGACAGCCAATTTCAATTAATGTTTTTTTAGCAACCTAACATCATAATCGATGGCGCGATTTGTACAAATACGATCAAGCCTGTTGAATAGGCACCTTATCAAACCCCGTTTGTATTGCACGGGGTAATAACTATAATAACAAGGGAATGACCTGTCCATGTTAGTTTCGTAAAACTGGATCGTTTGATTGAGCCATCTTCTCTGCTACTTAGAAGTATATCTGGGAAGGGAAGTTAATCGTTTTTCTCCTCTGGTAATATTAGCTTATTATCCAGAGTGATGAGGTTTCAAATTGTTTGCACATTATTATTATTACTCCTATTATTATTATCATTGTTTCCTCTTATCCTCCATTTCTAGTCTAGTTGATCTTTCATTGTTTTATATATAAATGTTCTTATTCAGTATACTGTGTGTGATCAGATTGTTGTAAATGTATTGGGCTATGATATATCATCACATAATTCTGATCATCTTCATCTTCTATATTACACTATCGAAATTTATCACATGGGACTGATTGCTTTAAATGAAGAATATTTTAATGATAAGTTTATGATGAATAAAGTTTAACGAATGAAGATTAAGATAAAATTTCAATTAAATAATTAAAATGTAAATATTAAAATTTTTTTGCTGAATTTCATTCTTCAGTAGTATTGATATATTTACTTCATGGGATTATGTTTAAATTAAGATTTGATTCTTGATTCTGTTTATCATTATTGATAATGTTTATTAGTAACTATGGTGGAATGTTATGTTATTTCACTGTTTTAATGTCAACTAATGATTGCATTGTTATATCCTAGTGAAGATTACATTATAAGTAACTTCTGAGACCTATTAATGGACTAATATTCTTTATATATATTCCTATGATATAACTATTCAGTAATTAAATTGTGTATATTTATATTCCTCTCATCGTAAGCTTTATTTTGACTCATAGACTATTATAATACGGTTTACTGTTCTTAATTTATTTTCAGTTTATTGACTACTGTCTCCCATGTTCACAGTCACTTTTAGTCTTGATCTTGTTAATATGTTATTTCCAATTTTATGGTACGTTGCCGTCTGTTTGGTCGATGTATGAACCCAATACGTCTAAAATAAATGATTCGCATAGCGGAAGCGGTTATTGGCCTTCTGGACTCAGTTGGATGAGCTAGGCGAACAAGGAGCCAATAGGACGCTAGGCTGATCAGACCGGTCGAACGTCATTGGTTTAGTACAGTATAAAAGCGAATATGTCGTATTTTGATTGGCCGATAAATTGCGTGATATGCTAATTCAATAGCTTATTTAATGTTTTCATAATCACCAAGTTATTTGATGGATAACTCGTTTGTATCAATTTATTTTCATCAGTTAGTGGAGAGATTTTGTG